CAGCTTATCAAACATACATGAGAAAGGATATTACTTTTACCCATGAGCTCTTCCAGAAAAAGGGATTGAAATGAAATTTCATGCCAGCTGCATTTCTGTCTTATGATTGACAGCATGATTCAGAAACCAAAAGTCCTTCCTCAGGAAGTGCTGTTAGCAGCATGTCACTGAACTTGCAGGAATAGTCTGTATTTCCTCATTGTTGTCTTATGGCAGGGAGTCGGGTCACTTTCCTGCTTGCCTGGGACTAATAAGCAAATGATAAAAATAACAACATTATTGCCTGATGGACCCTTGCTTCAGGGACTAAAGTCTGAATTTTCAGCACAAACCCTTAACATTGGGGGAATATAAATCTGATGTGTTTTCCCACTGAAACCTAACAAAGCCAGCTTAGCGGTTTGATAAATTCCTCTTCATGTCCATGCAAGGGGAAAATAACAATACTTTAAAAATATTTCCTTTGTTATGGGTTTTGTTGGTTTGTTTTATTTTGCTTTGTTTCTCACAGGGTCTCATGTAGCCAAATGCTGGCTTCAAATTGTCTGTGTAATCAAGGTTTGCCTTAAGCCCAGCTTCACCTTCCATCTCCCAAGTGCAAGGATTGTGCAGGCTGACATGGTGCTTAGAAGGGAATGAGCCCAGGGCCTCTCGCCTGTCACCAGCCAGGCAACATCTCCAGCCCCAGACTTGGAACCTTAGGGAAAGGCCATTGATTTTCACTGCAGTCGCTCATCTCTTGGCTCTCTTTTTCTTCTGATGCTTCATTCCTGGTCCCTGTTCTGAGAGCCTGACTCTTCTCTAAGCAGTGCTGATAGTAATGGGAAGGGGTGTGCCAAAAAACACAAGTCTAGGATACACAGGTCAGTTGGGGTCAGATCCCCAGATCTTCCTTGGGCTACCTGGGACCTTAGACACTGGGAATGATGACTGGAACTTCAGCTGCATGAATATCGCCACAGTAATAGGTATAATCAGGACAGATTCCAAGACGGTACCCACAGTCTCTGTCTTTCCCCAACACTGGCACATCGTCTTGATTTGGGCCTTTCCTCCCTGTGTGCCAGAGGGGTTAGAACCTCACTTTCAAAATCTGCTAGACTCAAATTCTCTACTCTGAGATTCTTCCAACTTGAAACTTATAATCAAACATTTATGACATCCAATTTAAAACAAATTGCCTCCCTTATCTAACTTGGGGCCAGAGAGGGCTGTGAGAACATCACATTTCTACATCTCAGAAACCTTGAGTGCTTGAATTTTGGACTGTTCTTTCCAGAGATCTTTACAGCTAAATGATTAATTATGCCCAAGATAGTCCAAAGCAATTATTTAATTATGCTGTATTGTAGGTTGCCAACTGTGTGGAGCAAAGGGGAGGCCTTCACCGCTGTTTCTCAACATCTGGCCTTTGGATGACTTAAAAGATAAAAGGAGATATGAGAACATTTTTATGACCAAGTAACAATTTCTAGAACTTTCCACTAAGTAGAAAAAAAAACTTTTAGCAATTGGCTTCTTTCTCATGATCAGAGCACAGTGCCATGTTTCATTATCTGTCCCCAGCTGACTGGATGGCTAAGAATTGAAGAAAACAGCAAAAAAGCACATGGTATTTTTTTTTCTTAATTTGGGTGTCCTAAAGTCAGCACTAATGAACAAAAATTCCAGCCACCCATTACAAACTTAGAAATGTCAGTTTTATTTCATGAAACATTTCAGTGTAGGAGATGCAGGCTGCCCCTCATAGCTGTAGCCCAGAGTGTACCTGGGTCATGGATCTAGGCATGCTCACAGATACTGTCTTGGGTGGGGGAGGTGAGAAGCTATCTGCAGCTTCTTTTCATCTGTCATGGCATATGAATGTGGCCCAAGCTTCTTCAGTTACTTCCAAACTCTGTTGGCTCCCTCACTCTAACAGTTAGTCATGACGATTTTTGCCAGTGTCCTCCACAGCTCTCACTGGTTTCTAACTGCTCTATGTCTGGGTGCTGTCCTCTCACTTGGGTGGGGGGCAGTGAATATCCTAGCAGTGATGTGTGCCTCCCACTGCCTGTGACACCTCAACAAAGAGTTGGTAAAAGAAGCAGCTGATGCATCTTGAGTGAGTTACTGTGTATTTAACACTCAGCCCAAAGAGATAACCTAATCAATCAGCCCTCTTCCCTCCATAGCATTTGCATATAGAAGTATGGCCAGAAGGAATAGTTATGATCTAGAGAGACATCTCAGTTCATAAAGCACTTGCCTTGCAAGCGTGAGGACCCGAGTTTGTTCTCAGAGCCCATATAAAAAAACCATGTGTAGCTTTGTAAGTCTGTAATCCCAGTGCTGGGAAGGTGGAGACAGAAGGATCCCTGGGGCTTGCTAGATAGCTTGTCTAACCAAATCAGCAAACTCCAGGGTCATTGAGGGACCTTGTCCCAAAAAATGAGATAGACTTGAAGAAAACAGTTGATGTCACTTAATCCTAATGCTTCTTTATTAATATTTGCCCAGCTGGTGTGTCTATTGGTGACAATGTAATACTAAAGTCACCCACTACTATTGTGTTGGAGTTGGTCTGTGACTTTGTTTTATGAAATGGGATCAGCCTGCCTTTGGGACCTATATTTAGAATTGTGTTTTCTTTTGATGGATGGTTCTCTTGGTCAGTATGAAGTGACATTCTTTATCTCCTCTGAGGAGAAGTATCTTCAGTCTATCCTGTCAGATACTAGGGTAACAATGTCTGCTTCTCCTTAGTTCCATTTGCTTGGGATACTTTTTTCCATCCATTCACCTTTAGGTAATGTTTGGTTTTGGCCATAAAGTGAATTTCTTGATGCAAAACAAGAACTCTGTTCTCTAATCTGGTCTTCTAGCCTGTGGCTCTGGATGGGATAATTGAGATGATCCATAAACAGGGCTGTTACTGACAGGTGTGTGTATATCCCCATCATTCTTTGTTGATTTACAGTGTTTGGGGATTTCTCAGTATTCTTTTGTTTAATTTCTTTTTAAGTATCATTTATTTTTTTCCTCCTTTAGCCTCTTGAGTGTGTTTATCTTTCTCTTCAGTTCCAAGGATTCCCTGCAGTGAAGTGTTCTCTGCAGGAGTGATTTGATGGCCATGGATTCCTTTTGCCTGCCTTTATCATGGAAAGTTTTCTTCCACCTTCAGTTATGATAGATAGTTCTGCAGGTGATATTAAGCTGGGTTGGCAGTTGTGGTCTTTCAGATTTTCAAATACCTTACCTCAAGCCCTTGGTGCTTTTAAGGTTTTGATTGAAAAGCCAGCAGTTGTTCCGATGGCCTTGTCTTTCCTTGTAGCCTGGTCCTTCTCTTTGGAAGCTTTCAGTGGACTTCCCTTGTTCTGTACATTCTGTTTTGAAAGTGTAATATGACACAGGAAGCCTCTTCTCCAGTCTTGTCTGTTTGGTGTTCTGTGTCCCTCTTGGATCTGGGTCAGCTTCTCTCTCCCTAGATTTGGAGGTTTTCTTCTGTGCTTATTTTCTTCTGTGAAATAGTTTCATCTTTTGCTTGAAAATCTTCTCCTTCTTCTTCTGTGTCCATGATTTGTAATTTTTGCCATTTTGTTGTGTGTCTCCAAGCTCTTGCATGTTCCATCCATACATTTTAAAAAATCTGTTATTGATGCTGCTGGACTGATCCACTTGTCTATTTTGTTTTCACACTGGCTATTCTATCATGTTACATTCTGTTGGCGAGGCTTTACACTGAACTTTTTACTTTATCTACTGTGGTTTTCATTTCCATCTTCATGTCCATTGACTTTTCTTCAGTATCTCGCTTTACACTGAACTTTTGACTTTATCTACTGTGGTTTTCATTTCCATCTTCATGTCCATTGACTTTTCTTCAGTATCTCTTTTCTTTCTCTTTCCATATCATGAATTGACTTCCTTGTTTAGTAAACTGTTTGTGCTCTCTTGGAAATTACTTGTGTCCTCCACAAGTTGTTTGAACATATGTGTAATCATCCCTTTAAATTTTGTGACTAGAACTTCATTTGAGTCCTTTTCATCAGGAGCCATAACTATAGATTGGTTGGTTTGAGAGAAGACACACAGTCCTGATACGTCATGTTACTTCTCTCTTTGTACTTGGATCTGCTCATGTGAGGCTAGATGGTTGGTTAAGAATTTTTGTCCTTGTTTTCAGGTCAGCTCTTTTCTTTTAGTGGAGGGGTTTATACTTCAAAAGAGTCTTGGTGGGTGAGCTTTGCCTCCATCAGACTGGCATTACAGACACCAGGATCTATCTCAAGTCCATCCCTGAGGCTTGATACTGACTGTAGGAATAGTCACTACCCAGCAGTTGACCTGCTCTGGCAATAGAGTAGCAGGAGGCTACAAAACAGACACTTGTTAAATACTAACTGTTTTAGGGAGTAAAGAAGCCCAGATAGTACCATCTATACTAATATGTCAGTCATTGTGGGTGTGAGTGGAAGTAAAAATAAGAGAAGTGAGTGGTTATGATTCTGTTGCTAGATGAGAACCAGAGAAAAAGAATATGCAGAAGAGCAGGAATGCATAAAGAATACATACATAGAGGATCAGTAGGAATAATAGAGGTGAGCGGGGGGAAGGGAGGGATATTTAATTGTAGGCAACATAATGAGATAAAGATATAAACCCTTTTACCATAAGCCATGCCAACCTCCCAGCTAATGGGGATGTAGCAATTGGAGGAAAGGGAATAGGGAAAGAGAAAAGAAAAAGAGAAATTGATGTAAGCAGTGGGGAATGGTGCTGGTCTACTACACTGGCTGGGGTATTATATAGATAAGTCCAATCTCCAGGGACCAACACTGTCTTCTGGCCTCCTCAGGCCCCCACATACATGCAGCACACACATCATACACACATACCCCAACACCCACACACAACAGAGAGATAAGTAAAAGTAAAAATAAATCTTTTTTTTAAAATCTATCTTTACCTTTAAAAAAACTGTCCTTTAAAAATTAATATTTGTTTTACCTTTTCAACAGGGGACTTATTGTGTTTGAGAATAAAACCTACATCTTAGAACCGATGAAAAACACCACCGACAGATACAAACTGGTCCCCGCTGAGAACATGAAGAACACCCAGGGATTGTGTGGGTCACATCATAACCAGTCCAGCCTCACCATGGATGTCTCCCCTGAACCCTCTCAAATGTGGTCCAGAAGGGTAAGAGGGAATGCCAAGTTCATGGCTCTTGAGCTGAGGGCTGAAAGAAGGGACCTGCAGGGCTAGGAGGTCTGGAGCAACCTTGCTGCTGAATGCAGTGTGGATGGAATGATCCCCATTCCTCAGGAGGCAGGGGATGTCCTGGGAAGAGTATGGCCACAAACTCGAACCCCTGCCTCTTCCCTGCACATGTGATCATCAGACTCATTAACATGTGATGAGTTAAGTCTCATCATCAGCGTTAAGGGGTGGCAAAGTCACCATGGGCATGGACAGCAGGGTGAAGCCAGCAAAGCAAGCATGGGTCCCCCACCCTTTCTTGTTCTCCATATTGTGGTGTCATCATCCGTGGTCTGTTCCACAGTTTGGGATCTCAGAACTGGGTATAGAAAATAAACCACCTTTACCCACCTGCATGTGCAGAGAGCCTCTGAGCCTTCTCCGGTGGTTTTACTAAAGCCCTGGTTATTCTTAGGCCATGCTGTGTGTTTGTCCTTGCCCTCCAGGACGGTGCAGCAGCCTGCCTTTTCCGAACTCCTGCCATCACTCTTTTTGCTGCAGCATGGGAGTTGTCAACAGAGTCTGTGCTATAAGCTGACTCTCCTCACCCACATTTCCTATAATACCCTGGAACAACTCTGCCCTGAGGTACCTGCTCATGGCCATTCACACAAGCTGTACAGGCCCAGTGGAGCTTTGCTGGCAAGGAGCAAAGGGTCTTTTCCACCACTAGGCTATAACCAGAGATGAAAGCATCACCTTTTTCTGTCTGTTTTGTTTTGTTTGGGGGGTAAGGGGGTGTGTATGTGTGTTTTTCCTATTCTTCACTTGAGAAGAAGTATCTAAACAAATCAAATGTATGATGTTCCCTCTGTTAACATTTGATTGTCAAGGATGGCAAGAGTGACATGTTCTTTACATCCCTCAACACATTTTGTCTTTCCCATCTTTAGCTAATAGTAACCTAACTTTGAGCTAACAATATACCTCACCATCAACATTCCATAAAGGTTATTCTTGGTGCATCTTAGTCTTTCATTTCTTTCCTTCTTTCTTTCATCCTTCTTTCCTTCCTTTCTTTCCTTCCTTCCTTCTTTGTTTCTTTCTTTCCTTCGTTTTGCTTTCCAACAGTACTTGAAATTGAACCCGAGCCTAACACATGCTAGGTCAACGCATCACAGCATGTACTACCCCCAAACTACCTCTCCCCATCTAAATCCTCTAAGTTTAAACAAGAGTTATTTATGTTCAGTGTGTTTGCCCCCTCCCTGCATTCCCTTTATGCCTGTGCAGCGTGTCTGTTCCCCTAGACTGCTCTAAAACACCCAGCTCTGGACTTTTCCCCATCCATCCAGATACTCTGTCATGATATCCAAAGCCCTTTCTCCTATGATGGTTCCCAAGATTGTCCATGTACAATGCTCAAAACGTTTGTTTTTCTGCCTCCTCAGAGAAAGACGAGCTCCCCCTTTACTCGCTGTTGCTTATCTTGGCATTGCTGCTTAAGAAATAGGGATGGGGAGAAGGGAAAGGGACAAGATCTCCTAAGCTAATGGGGAGCATGGGAGAGGGAATTAGAAGAAAGAAAGGGGGAGAGGAGGACATGAGAGAACAGGAAGATCTAGTCAGGGGGAAGAATAGAGGAGAGCAAGAAAAGAGAAACCATCATAAAGGTAGCCATTATAGGTTTAAAGAGAATTCTGGCACTAGGGAAATGTCCAGAGATCTTCAAAGTTGACCCCAACTAACAATCTAAGCAATAGTTGAGAGGCTACCTTAAATGTCCTTTTCTGATAATGAGATTGGTGACTACCTTATATGCCATCCAGTAGCTGATGGAAGCAGACACAGACACCCACAGCTAAACACTGAGCTGAACTCTGGAATCCAGTTGCAGAGAGGGAGAAGTGATGAGCAAAAGGGTCAAGACCAGGCTGGAGACACCCATAGAAACAGCTGACCTGAACAAAGTGTTGCTCATGGACCCCAGAGTGATAGCTGGGAAACCAGGCCCCCTGAAGGAAGAAGTCAGTTTGGAGGTCTGGACAATCTATGGGGCCAGTAGTAGTGGATCAGTATTTACCCCTAGTACACAAATAAACTTTGGGAGCCCACTTCATATAGAGGGATACTCTGTCAGCCTAGACATACTGGGGAGGGCCTAGGCCCTGCTCCAAACGATATGACAGACTTTGAAGATCCCCATGGAAGACCTCACCCTCCCTGGCGAGCAGAAAGGGGTTGGGATAGGGGGTCGGGGGAGGGCAATGGAGGAGGGGAGGCAGAGGGAACTGAGATTGACATGTAAAAGAAGCTTGTTTCTGATTTAAATTTTAAAAAGAAAAAAAAGAAATAGGGATGGGAGTCTATCTGAATTTCAGATCTAAAACCACCCAGAAATGCCAGGGGTGGTGGTGCACCCCTATAATCCTAGCACTTTGGAGGGTTGAGGTAGAGATGAAGAGTTCACAGGCATTCTCATTACATAGCCAGTTCATAGAATCCTATTTCCAAATAACTAAATGAGGCTAGAGAAATAGCTCAGTCAACCAAGTGAATGTATGTACACCTGAGTTCAATCCCCAGAACCTATATTAATAACTTTCTTTAAAAGCCAGATGTGCTGATGCTATTTTGTAATCCCAGCTCTGGGAAGATGGAGACAGGATGATCTCTGGGGCTCCCTGGCCAGCCAGTCTAGACTACTTGGCAAGTTCAGTGAAAATTTCTGTCCCAAACAAAGCAAAACAAACAAAAATAAACTAACCAACCAACAACAGCAAACCTGTGAATGATGTCCTGAGGAGGAACACTTGAAGCTGCCCTCTGGCCTCCACACATGCACCTACACACACGTGCACACACACACACACACACACACACACACACACACACACACACACACACACACAGAGGAGGGGGGAGAGAGAGGGTGGGGAGAGTCAGAGAGAGGGAAGGGAAGGGATGGGGAGGAGGGAAGGAAAGGAGAGAGAGAAAGAACAATGTCCCAGCAGCAGCGAGAGTCAGAGAGAGGGAAGGGAAGGGACAAGGAGGAGGGAAGGAAAGGAGAGAGAGAAAGAACAATGTCCCAGCAGCAGCAGCAGCATTTCAGCTCTGGAAGGATCCCTCTTGCTCCCCTCCCCTTCCCCACCTCTCTTGAGTGACAGACTTAAGAGCTGGCATCAGAGGCAGCCTCTCTAGTCCCTCTCCTGTTTATTTCGCTCTTCAAACATGCCTGCTTTCGAGTCCAGACCCCAGCTAGGATGTGACTGAGCCAAGCTTCACCCATCATAAACAAGTCGAACATTTGCATTTTGTTTTCCAGGCTCTTGGCTTTGAGTACCTGGTTGAATGCCTGTTACCCACATTGCATGATTTATAACTTGACAGTTTAAATGATGCTCAAATGCGCTCCCATCTCATTTACAAGTACAAACTTGGTCTGTACTTGCTGCTGACCGTATTTTAATTCCCTGAGCATACACAGCTCTCCAGACCCATGATTGGCACCATCATTTCCAGTCACACTGACATGGAGAGAAATGAGAAAGCCTGCCTAATGACACTATTTTGCTAATATGGGAACGTAAATGAACCTTTAAATGGGAAAGGGAAAGAAAGCATGGCTGCCAGCACCGTTTACCTCAACATCCACTGTTGCTCTGAAATTTCTTGTGATGGTCTTACACAAGGGAAAGAACTTGCCCTAAACTTTGAGCAGATAACGAAGACAGTACCAAAAAACCCTAATATTCAAATAAGCAGAATACTTGGGAGTTCCGGGCACCTAAATCATTTTGGAGAGCTTCCGTGGTGAATGCGCAGAGCAAAGATTCAAGTTGTATGCCCATCACTTGCCTCACTGTGCTGCAATTTATTCTATACTCTTTTTAAAAAAAATCAATGTAACTGCAGATAATTAATCTTTTTTATGCAATGCTCCAAGCACAATTGCTCTTCTCCAGCATTTTCCTGACCCCACCCCCAATGTTAACTATCTCGGCTGCTCTAGATGTTTGCATTTTTCTTCACAGAGCACCAGGAATCCATCTGATCTAGGTGGTCATGCTGGCTATCATATAAAGCTGAGCTGTATGTCACTTTTACAAGGCTCTGTATTAGATTGTAGTGAGAGCCTCATTTGCTTCTGGAAGGCAGGAGTGTCATGGTTTTCTCTCTGGGGATTTTTTTAAGTCCAGCCTAACCTATCTTGGTACTCAGTTCACCTGCCTGGACTCCATCTCTCTCTGTGGTCTGTGTCTGCAAGAATGGAAAGGGAGAACTGGAGATATAGCTCAGTTTGTAAGGCGCTTGCCTCACACACATGTGGCTTCAAGTGCTATCCCTGGCATTGCATAAACTGTATATGGTGGTGCATGCCTGTGATCCCAGCACTCTAGAGGTGGAGGCAGGAAGATCATGAGTTCAAGGTCAGCCTCAACTCCATAATAAGTTAGAGGCCAGCCTGGGCTGCATGAGACCTCATCTCAAAACAAACAAACAAAAAGATTAGAAAGGGGTTTTTAGCAGCCACCTTAGTAAGCTTTGTGAGAGACAAAGGCTAAATAAATCTTCTAATAAGAGAATCAAGCCATACATCTCCATAGCAGAGAAAGGAATTTCTTCATTAAGGCAGTGAGTGGCCTTGGTCTTATCTGTCCCTATATTTCCAGTACCTAACCCATCATGTGGCAAACGGCAGGCACCCAGAAGACACTGCAGGATGAGCAAATGTCTGTCAATGGTCTGACCATAGGAAGACAGTATTGCTGTGGAAACCCGTTGGTACTCTGGTCTCCCCTTGCTTTCCTTGATTGCGTTAAGCTCTCTGTGCCAGACATCACAGCAAGCTCTTCGGAGGGTACTCAGCCTCTGGGCACTTGGCTGGGTTGACTTTCAGAGGTCTAGGAACTAGTTCCCCCTCTGGTACCTTGTCTCCAACTCCATCCCCACCTTGGAATTGAAACTGTTGGTCCCTTCTCAGAGCTTTTGTTCACAACCCTGCAGAATGAAAATTCAGTCAAACAAGCACTTTCAAATGTTGCTGCCCATATCACAAATTTAAAGTATATATTTTTAAAACTGGACAGCCTAGATAGGTAAAGATCACGTGGAGGTAATTTAAGCCTCTCCTTCAGGGAGCTGGCCACTCCCCTGTGGCTTTTCATTATGATGTGGTTAAACTTCTCTCTGAGCTTGCAATTCTCTGAATTCATGAGAAAATGTGGATTTCTCTGAAAACTGCAGAGACAGGAAAATTGTGTTCGTGTGTTTGTTTTCATTATCTGGGATTGTATGTTTTCTAAATGATGGTCCAAGGCCAGTTGGAAATGTCCTCTGGTCATAGATTTCACCCTCTGCAGTCTGAAAAGTGTAAATGCCTAAGCAACTAGCGCTTTTGTGATGAGTTTTTCATGAGAGATTAATTTATTTCTTCATTTCCACAACCATGTTTTTGTCTGCATAATTAGCGAATTTGTTCATGGTTGAACAGGGCTTTGTAGGGGGTGGGGAGGGAAGGGAGAAAGAAATTGATTCCTGGGAGCTAGAGAGATAGCTCAACCAGTAAAGTTCATTCTGTTCTGGGTTCAGATCCCCCAGCACCCATGTACAGAGCCAGATGCAACAAGTATGCACCTGCCACCCCAGCACTGCTGGGTCCCGGAGACTGACTGAAATGATCATCTCCCAGTTCCCTGAGAGACCATGTCTCAAAAAAAAAATAAAAATCAAGGTAGAGAGGGTTAGAGGAAGACACTTGCCAGCAACCTCTGGCATCCACACGAATGCATATACATGTGTGTGCATGCACACACACTCCTATAGAAGCACACATACAAACATACACATGCATACATACATACAAACATACACATGCATACATGTGTACACCATGGGGTTGGGGGAGAGAAAGTGTAAGGAGATTTCTACTTCTTTGGCCCTCGGAGGTAAGGAAAAAGCACAAGACACTCTCGTTTCCAGAAGTGTCTCATTTTGGGTAAGGAGATTTCTACTTCCTGGGCCCTCGGTAAGGAAAAAGCACAAGACACTCTCGTTTCCAGAAGTGTCTCATTTTGAGCACACACGGGGGCTGACTTTCTGCCTCTCTGCGTTCCCAGTTATCACCATGAAGCCTGCCTGCACATACAGTTACCACGCCTGACGGTTTCCCCTTGCAGCACTGTAAAAGCGTGAGAAATTATACCTTTCATGGTACTTTATTTTCCTTCCTCCATGAGGTTTCCAGATTTCTTCAGGGACACCTAAATTCATGAATCAGCACAGCTGGGCAGCAAGCGGGAACACCACTATAATACAAACATTTTTCTTGTAAAAATCTGTTTGGAAGATTCTGGCCTGGTGGAGATTTGTTTTATGAAAGATGTTTCCCTGCGGATTATGTGACTGGAAACCTGATTCAAAGCATGCCTTCATCCCTTTTGCTTTTGTCTGGACAAGTGCTTGTAACACTGAGTTTTCTGCTGAAGCCCTGTATGAGACTTAAGTCATAAACCAGCAATTTCAGTTGGGGAGGACCAGAGACAAATCAACCCCCACTTCCTCCAAAGTGTGTTATTGCAGAAACAGAAGGCTTTGCTTTTTTTGTTTTCAGTGTTTGATTTTGGAGACCACCCTCCACGAATTGGTTTATTTCCCCTAAAAAATGCCTTTGGGATCCTCCCAGTAATTTACAGAAGAGTGTAAACGGTTTCTGAGGAAGCCTGATTACAATGTAACCTGCCCCAGAGGCCATCTTGTTTGGATCTGTATCTCTACTGCTGAGTGTCCCTGATACAGTTTCCTGCACCCTGATACAGTTTCCATATTCTTCTCAGACTCTCCACTCTTGCCAATCCCAACCCTCCCATGTCATATTTTTAAAAATATTCTTGCTTCCTGGTCTCTCAACTGGTCCTTTGTCCTTTGTCTCATTGCCTTCTGCTCTTCAGCCCAGTCTTCCACTGCTTCAAACTAGATGTTTAAATGATTGGCCACAAACATCCATTCCCCAGAAAGAACTCAGCATTTTCCCAGAGGGAACACACATTTCTCTACAAACTGTATTCTCCTCCACTCTCCTCCAATTGTGGAGCAGATATACATAGGCCATAAAAGCCCAAGTGATAGGCTGTACTCCAGTGTGCCTTCAGTGATCTTCACATCCTCGGGTAGTCTGTAACAACAAGCTTTTGGCTAACTCTGGTTCTAGAATGTTCTTTGGAGTTGTTTAGGTGCTCGTTTTTTGTCTAAAAATGACCTTGACTTGTTTTGAACCCACAATCAATGATTCAGTGAGAATGTTACACTCCTTTTTAGGATTTCCCACATGAAAGAAACGAGATCACCCCTGTTGAAGCTTCCCAAAAAGATCACTGGGACTGGGAATCCAGAAATGAGATCACCCCTGTTGAAGCTTCCCAAAAAGATCACTGGGACTGGGAATCAGTTTCTGGGTGGCACACAGCCACAAAGCCCATAGGAGGAAGAGTCTGCCCTGCAAATATTATCATTGTTGTCTTGTTTGTTTTTATTTTTTGAGAGACATGAACAATGTCCTGGAAAACCCAGGGAAGTATTAAGGCAAACAAAACTCTCTCTCTCTCTCTCTCTCTCTCTCTCTCTCTCTCTCTGCAGCATAAAAGAGAGACCCTTAAGATGACCAAGTATGTGGAGCTGGTTATTGTGGCAGACAACCGAGAGGTAAGGACCTGAAAAACGTCTCAGGACAGTTTGTTTCAAAAGGAAATAAGAGGAGGTGCTTAGCCAGTTAGGACTAGCTTTGCCTCCTTTGTTGGTGTGTTCTTGAAAACCTTGGAGACAAGCATTAAAATTGTGCCTTTCCACTCTGAGGAAGCACAGACTACTTAATGTGTATCTAATATAACAAAATAATTGCAGTGTACCCCTTCCCCAAAAAAATACAAGTATTTCTCTGTAGCTAAGCTCTCTAAGTAAGGGAAATTATCTAGAGCGAGTGATGGATGACCTTAAATTACATTCTGACAATTTGGGAAAAGTTTGGT